TTGGAAACAGCTGCATCGGACGAAAGCTAGCAAGGGTACTAGAAACGGGACAGAAAGAACTGGCATTTTGATCCATAAACGTGGGGACAAAGAAATACTGACCTTCGGGTTACTAGCAAATACCGCCTGGCCACTGTTCGTTCCGGCCTCATGGTTTTATATCACGTGGAACGTTTTTGGTGGACATGAATGATTTTCCTTATTGAGGCGCCAAAATTGACATGAGATGTTAAATTACCTCAGGCATGAACGCCATAAAATGTTTGATAACTGCGTATCGTATGCATCAAAAGTCGGGAAGCCTTGGCCGAAATCTTGCGGCGCCCTTTCAAGCAAAAAAGACTACTTACGTTATTTTGCAGAATAATCATCAAGGAAAATAATCCCCCCACAGGTTCGAAATGGTGACATATCGGTCTTTGATCGATAGTTTCTCCAACCGCCCTTGTCCATTTTACTCGGGAAAATAACTACCTACACATGTACAGTATGTGCCATTTCATTTATTTCGGTGCTTTTGGGACTTTGGTGCAAATTCTTAGAAAGTATGTCAACTAAACTATTTGGAAACTCATTTTGTAAGCGGGCGTGATATTTTCGAGGCCAATGCTTGCAACAATGAAAAGTCAAGATCGTACACGTGCACTACCATCCCGAGATCAGTCGGTTGGGCTCATTAATAAGGCAGAGTAATCCTTATATATTAGAGTATTCTATGAGTTCACGAAGACCTTTCCTATCGCCTATCTGACTAACAAGGGAAAATGTGGGTTGTTAGTATAGCGTAAATCCACAATGTTCCATCTCTTTATGCACCAGACTTGAGAGGACGTATTCTTCCCTAAAATTTGCGTGAGAAATAGTATTTTTTCTATCCTCTCCACAAAATAGGACCGAATGCACGAAGGTGTCAGAAGTCATTTAAAAGTATGCGGCGTTTTATTGGGCAATTCGCGCGGGTGGTTGCAACAATACTCAAGCGAAAAGCCACATATGGAAGTGACTTTTGATTACGTTCACTACCAACCACCTTTGCGACCTCTCATCTGGTTTCCTCGTCTACCACATAGTGATACTCGTTTTAAATTTCAGTGGCCTTCATTCGTTCATAAACCGAAAACTACTATTCAGTATTTGCGTTAATAAGTTTCAGACTACCATCCAAATTAATTTTTTCTCAACGATCTGTTGGGGCCCTGCATATCACCTCCGCAGGTAACAGGATACTTTAAGAAGAATTGTCGGCTGATTAAAGGGATATGGATTCCTCTTTCACAGGTGGTCTTAACCTAATTTCCAGGGGTTAGAGATTTTGCTAATACTATGGTCAGGAGGGCACAGGGGACTTACGCAGGACCAACGCGAAAACTAGACCAGAGTCTGGGACGCGGTATTGGGTTGTAAACCCACAATAAATGCCATGTATGAGTGCTGTGACGGCAGGCCTAGCCGCTGGCCCGTGCCACTTTATTCCCCCCGGTCTCCTTGACTCTGTCTTGACACTGGGCTTAGGTGGATGGGGGGGAGGGAGAGGGTGCGGCAGTTGCTGCGTAAGCCTATTGTCATTATAAATCGAGTCACGCTGAAGTCACCGCCCATGCGCCCACCACGCCGTAAGGCACAAGGTGGACATCGTCAGTAACAACGGCCAAAATGTCGTTAAGGTTGGGGTTAGGATAAGTGCTAGTAATAAGCTTATGGTTGGGACTAGGAGGGCTAGGGTTACAGAAAGTGTTAAATTTAGGGTCAAAATTGGAACATGAGATTAGGAGTCCCCTGGGACACCTGTAGTACAAGGGGGTCCGTTTTACGGTTTCAGACCCAATTATCTATTCTAAGTAACCGAGGCACCTCAAAAGCAGATCAATGTGTTCGGCTTCTCGGCCTAGGCCATTGTTTACTGGATATGATGAAACGTGTTGCTTAATTTTGTCTAGTCCGATTACGTTCTTCTATACCACAGTCCGCTTTCGAGAAGGGCGTGCGAAGTTGAGGCTTGATTTGGTAAAATCGTCGATGGGAACTAGTGTTGTGGCGATGTTACTTTAATGTGCGTTTCATCTGTCAGAGGCCTGCAGTTGAGACCTTATGGCGGCAAAATCCTGCCCCCTCCAAAAGGTTTGGTCCTTGCACTTCGCCAATGGCCTCCAGATATCGGAATCGCAAAGGGCATCATTGCAGTCAGATTTGCTTTCGCCCCCGATCACTCACGACAATCTACAAATCTACTGGCAGTTTAACCAAACTTTCCAATTGGCCTCAAGCAGAAGCAATTACCTAGCTGAAATTACAATATCTATTAGTAAGTGGAACTAGTCTAAATATAATCGAGTACTAAGAAATGTTTCTGTTCGGTTGAAAATCAGTCCACTTCCCCCTTCTAAAAACCCTTGACGCTTACGTAAATCAAAAGACATTTCCAGAATTAAATAGGTAGGTTCTTCACTTATACTAAATTTCTTCGGGAAAGTACCTTTTTCGAAATTTAATTTTGGAAGACACGCAAATACTTCAGCAGTAAAAGTTCAGTAATTCAGGTGTGTTTTTAGACAGCCCCCGTTGTCACCTGCTGGTAGGTCTTTGAAGCTTTCCAACATAGTTTTTTCCGCAACTATTTTCTGATTTCTCTACAAGCCGTCTTCTCGCTTACAAAATCGATATGTAAAACTGATTTATCTTACACACTTTGCATTGGGCCTTTCTAAAGCTGAGGTCACTGTGCTGCACAGGGACCCATGTGAATATGACAAAAAATTCCATAGTTAAATCATCAAGAATAAAGTTCGCATACCAGGAGGAAGACGGCTCAACCATCAGCAAAGTAGCGTTGTCATCATAAAGCATTAAACAGTTTCTCGGATTCCTCTTTTCCATTTACGCTCTGGAGAGCTCAAGTTTGCCTCTAAATGAACACCCTAGGAACGGTGTAAGAAGCTCATTTCCAACATAGCTGTATGAATATAATTCGGATTGTAGCCATGATTTAAATGAGCAACTTTTGCAAATACATTTTTACCTTCTTATGAATAACCAGCGGATAATTTTGGAGCCTCGGGAAAATTAATTTATCACGCGAAGGTCCCAACGATTTTCATTCGGACATTTTTCAAACGATAAATTTGTAGTGCTTCAAGCAGAAATTTCCCTAAAATTGGAGTTGAAATGAATTTTGAGCAAGGTTTTGGGAATCGCGATCGCGCAGGTGTTGGGAGAAAAATGGCACTCTCCTCGAGGGAAACAAAAGAGGTAGGAAGGGTTTTATGAATAGTATATTTATCCCTTCAGCCGTTCGAATTCAAATTGCCTTCAGCTTCACCAAAGGTTGGGGAATCGTCTTCCTCGCGCTTATGACAGTCCTGATTATTTTTTGGCGGATACAAAAATACCTGGTTGAGGGAACGAGACCACACGGCCAGGGCGATCCTGAAAACGTAACATGCCAACACGACGCACGTCAGTGGCTGCGTGACGTCTCTTCCAGAGTGCCAGGCCCTGCAGCCACACTACAATATGCGTGGCCACCAATGTCGGGGAAAAAAGTACACCGACGTGAATGGCAGCTAAAACACGGATTGTGGGGCGGCCATTAACGATAGTGTTAACGTAAGTGAGATTTGCACTCAGGAGTTTGGCAGCTGCCTAAACACCCCCCCCCCCCCCATAAATGACAGCTGAACAGTCGCCAGCGACGACTTCCAAAGTGTTTCCAACGGAGTGAGTGAGTGTTTCCAGCGCCGATGCTTTGCGTGTGTATTGGTTTATAGTGAGGCAAACTCGCACGGCATCTGCCGCACCCCCTCTCCCCCACCCACCAAGCTCCTATGGCAACAGCATGACCGGACGTGAACTCGGGCGCCGCGGCTGACAATGCTAAACGAGCCGTCTGTGCATACCACACAGGGCCTGGTTCCTGCACAATGCACCAGGATTTTAAAGAAAGGGTGCCCACGAGGGTGCCATATAACCGGTCGTAGTAGAAGTCATGTGTGTGAGTGCTCGAGAGCACTCTCCGCTGTGTTACCCATTCCAATGAGGCCGCTGCCGGGCAACCTTTGACAAGCAGTACAACGGCGTGGTTATGGACACCCTTCAATACTATAGAGCACAGTACCACGACACCCCCTCTGATAATGGAAGCTTTTTTGCTTGATAAACAAAGAAAAATAGCAGAATGTTCTTGGTGATCCACTCTATTCTCTTTATGGGATTCGCGCAGAAATTGAAAGTGGACGTAAAAAGTCATCACTACTCAAGTAGCGATTTTTTTACTCCAGAAATGATGGCTGGAATGATCGTCAGTCAAAGCCCAGATGCTATAGTGCATTAGGTTATTACCTTTTGGCTCCATAATTTTGTTACTACATCCTCTATCAAGTGATGTTTACTATTTCAAAACATGTTTAAAGATGCTGGTTAAGGTTACAGGAGTTTTATAGCGGACTACAAGTTAGTTTTTTCAACCTGGAATTTTTTGGTGGTCGGAGAATGACGCGAAGGCAGTATTAGATTATTTCTATTAGCTACTAAAATTTTGACAGAATTTGCAGGAAGCTTGGGAGGCGGCCTTGACTAGATGTATCTGCACTCAGTGCCTCAGAAAAATGGCGAAGCAAAAGGTTGAGTCGTTTTTCAGAGGAAAGTCAACAGTGCTTCAGCAGCGCCTCTTTACTTGATCCGCATTCTGAAAGCCCACTCCTCTTTCCTGAATAGTTGGAATTTATTGGCCTTGCAGGGGCCCACGTGCTAGAGCATCGGTGCGAATTGCACACACTTGTCCTGTCTCCCACCTCAGTTGGGGGGCGCGACCGACTGGCACAAAGCCACTGACATCAAACGAACGCTGCCGAACATTCCCTACTCGTGGCAGCAGACTATTGGACAAACAGACGCCGAAACCCGCCTGCTGTATTATGCGGACAACCAATCGGTTGCACGGATGTTCCCCGTCAAATAAATACGCCTGCGTTACGCGTAGGCTCTCAGTGAAGCTTGACTGTGACATGAGGTCCGTGATTTTCTTCCTCTTTACGCTCGTGTGTCTGGGTGATGCGAGAGGCAGCGATGGTATATAATCTTTTTATGCGTCACAAAGTCGTTACTTTTAGATCTACTGGTTATTGCCCTCCGGGGGGAAGCGGATGACGCTACAAATAGGTTCCTGAGATCTGCGAAAGTGTTTGGCTACAAATTCCAGGAAATTGACCTCTCACAATACGGACGTACAACGGAGGAGGTTCCGGACACAGTGAAGACGACTTACCTCCGGAATTTCCTTCAGACCCTTGAAGAAAATGAGCCGAACTACGTTCTCGTGGTGGATTGGTAAGCGGTAGTTTAGTAGTTAACCGTGTAAATCCGAGTAGTAACGACTGCTGATTGTTTAGCATTAGTCCAAATCATTTTATTTCCTTGTTACTAGCCATTCATCGATCCTCCTCGCTCGTCCTTTGGATCTGCTTGATAAGGGCACTAGCATGGGCTCGGACATTATACTCATTGAAGAGGTGAGTAAAGTTAAAAAAACAGCACGGTAACTGAAGTGGGAAGGAATAGATCTAGTATTTAAGCGACTTGAACAAATAAAGTTTTTTAATACCGGATAGCTGACTGTGTTTGGGCACAGTGTATGATGCTTGTGAGTTGTCACAAAGTCTAGGGGTAAAATGATCACGAAGATAAACCAGCTACTTCGACTCAGTCAGTAGCCTTAACAGTTTCACACTTAAGGCAGTTGAAGTATTTCAGTGATTCTTAACGGGAGTTTATGTGTATCACATTTTTGTTAAACCAAGGACAAGAGTCTAAAGGACTCACAACTTGAGGCACAGCTGCTTTTCAAGGGTACTTTCGCAAAGACAAAACTCCTTAAAATGGCGCTTGAGAAGGCAGAGGATCCAAAGGACATCTCACGCTCTCTGGTTGCCATCCAGGAAGAGGTAAGATGAAGATAATTTGTCGCACTTTACGCCTAATTTGGTTCATATCATTAAAATAATTTTTAGACATTTACTAAAACGAGATTCCCTTTTTCAGGAATACTTTAAATAAAGATGTTAGCCAAGCAAAATTTGCTAGTCTGTATTAAAGTGGATAGTGTTCTCGTCGGTGGCTTGCAGAAACAGAAGTATATGATGTCGTTATTTTCGTATAACAGTGTCCCGACTAACACGCACATTACACTTCGTCGAACGTCCGGAGACCCTTATAATTAGGAATGGGTAAGAACTACCGGCGGTCAGCTGATTACAGGCTACACACGCATCTGTTTTTGGACGTCTAGCCTACAAATCTGCCGGGATTATCATGGAGTTAAAATGAATGGTTTGAATGCTCACTAAACTTAACGTACTGAAATCCCTATAGTCTGCAAGCGTCGCCAAGATGGCTGAGTCATATGATAAAGATGTATATGGTCTAATTTAATTCCTTAAAAGGTATTACCCAAACGCGATAGTTTGTTGATTAGATTGAACTTTCTAGCCCATTCCCTTCCATCGTCGTCTGCCATCGGTCCAGCAGCACACAAACTGTCCTTATTTCGCTGCTCTTATTTTGGATACGTTTTCGGCCAAAACACGACTTTGGATTTCTTCCTATCAGCCGTACGTAGTTGGCCACTATCCTCCAATTCGGCGTCGTCTTTTTTAAGTTTTTTTGATACTAACATATTTTTTTAATCAGACATCTTCCAGAGATTGATAGTTTTGCTAGTCCACGGATGGGGACCGGGCAGTGGTAAAAATTTGAAATGTAGGGACTTTTAAGTATGGAATCCAATTTTCACATCTGCTTGACATATGATTTTAACCTGGATTTCTTCGTATTTTATTGACCAGTTGGGTGCGAAGGTGACGATTGACAGAGACTCTCAGTTCTTCCAGCTGGTCACAAACGCCTCGGGTAAAGCTCCCTATGAAGAACAAACAACTTTAAAAAGCATGTCTTTGAAAGCCCCTGTGTTTTTCTCGCTCGCGCATGATTTGTGGTCCTGTGCTCTAAGAGGTTATTCGAATAACCGTGTCTAAAAGGAGTCCATCTCTTTCTTGTCTAGCCGAATTGAAAATTCGCTTCGAATACGACCGCGGCTACTTGCAGAACACGCATAAGGACACTATTCCCGTCGTGGCCGTGGCGTCATCCAATGGGAAGGTAAGTTCCAGATCTTTTCCGCCAACTTAGCGTCCTTCTGATGATTTGACCACATCTTTGGGACTAATTCCCGACGTCCGTTGGTGTCATCTGTTCACACGATGGCTTGCGACCGCGTGGCGTTTATCGCCCAATCAGCTGGTGACCTTGAAAGTCACTACGTGGCACGCACGCCCATAGATGGTTGTTTCGGTGTGCGGCGTCAGCATCGGGTGCGGAAAAGCGCGCCTCAGAAGCGGCCGGTAAATCTATAAGCACAACCTACGTCAGCAGCTCCCACTTTGGGCAGAGTCAAACGTGTGGGCAAGCATTTGTTCAACAGTTGGGCTTATAAGTAGCCCTACTTCGAAGACTGAGGGACCGCAATTGTTCAGTTTCTTCTGGCGAAACACAAGAACCTCGAGAGTAGCTTATTATCCAAGGACTGCGAACGAGACGGGCAGTAGTATAGCAAACGAAACACCTCTTATGTACCATTTGATGCGTTCGCACGGTCTTCAAAATTGTGAAAAGGACAAAAGTTACTTTGGACAGCCCCCACCTGTGCTTGCAGGAGACCCGCGCATTCATCTGCCTAAACAGTTATAAAAGACACCAAGATCAAGTCAGATGTTGTTAAGTCTTGTGTTACATCCGTATAATGGTGGGCATAAATAGTGACTTTTTCCGCAACCGTTCTGATTTCAGGTTTATTCCGAAAGGGAAAAGATGTTCGCCGTAGGCTGTCAGTTCTCTTTGGTTAGATGGGTTGACAATGTGTGAAGCATTGACGGGCACACCGGATGCCTAGCTGTCCGAGATTCTTGTTCCAGTCTCGGATCAACTGGCACCTAGTTCTCTTCTGTGGCCCCACGGAGTTCCACTGAGAGCAGTATAGTGGTCGCAGACCAGTGGCTTTTTCGATTAGAGGCTCAGTCAGATAAGAGAAACCCGAATACCCCTGTCCGTTAAAGCTGTTTGTGTCGTTTGATTTGGTTTGAAGAGGAGAGACAGCAATGCTGTGCCACACGCTGAACGGGACATTGTGTCGGATCAGTCGCTGTACTTAGATGAACACTCAATCTCATCCATACTCGCGTCACGATGTGTTTTTGCGAAGAAAGTTCGTAAAGGTATGCTGATGGCGTAGGGATTTTGTGGTGTCACATGCCTCAGTGGTCACGGCGTAATTACTCCGAAAACGAGGCTGCCGACCCAAACATAGAGACGGGATCAGAGTAAAAAAAGCACATGACAAGATGTACAGCAGACTATTGGACAAGGACTGAATTAGAGGATGATAAGCAAGGTAGAACAGGTGTATACCTCCAAGATTAAGGGGGTGGGAACAACAGAAGCCAGTTAAGGTAGACGGTTTGCAAGCGTATCGCATGAACTCTCGGACAGGCAGATCAGCGATACTGTCAACTAGTCTGACAAGAACGACGATAGAGACGAGTGTCTGCTCCCAAGGGAAATCAGCTTCACAGGGCCTATGGTGGCGACAGGGCTGCTCTAGACGTCATTTACTACGAAACCCGTGAAATATGTGGAGTACCAGCCGACCCGTGCGGCAGAATGATTTCAGAGATACGCCGGTGGTAGCGAAAGTAGGGCCTACATCCAATTGGAACTTCGCCACTCCTCATCTCAGACGTGACAGCTGTGCAATTGGACAAGTCGGAAATCCTGGACTGTTAAGCTGAGCACTATCAAAGAGACCAGAACCGTCCATCTTCAGTCTGCAAGGCGGCAGTCATCAGACTTCTCCGAATAATTTTCAATGCAGAGTTCAATCAAACACCAAAACTGTTGCAGATAATAACGGGAATACAGCAACTCTCCCGGCTTCAAAGCACCGATCCCCGACTGAATTCTCCTCCTGGTCTTCATAAACAATGTGCCATGATGTCTACACAAACTTGCTTATCTGTTACAGAATATATGCGAATAGGGCTAAGTCCCAGGACTTCAACGACACGGCCATTGAATACTTCCAAAAACCCCACTGAGGGTGACTACCCGAACCTCTCCTGCCCCACGTTATAGAAACAATCCGCACTGATAGCCTGCTTGACCATATGCCACTGCATGTGGACGAAAGAATGTTGATGCAAACGAAGAGTGGATTCCCCATGCACCGTGGAGCCAGTAAACTATCTTTCGACTCCGTCAAATGCCTGTACTGCCGCCGTCGATCAAACAATTCCCTCAGCTACGTGAAAGGAAACGGATTCTGGAGGATTATGAGACAGCAATGACGTCAAAAAATGCACAGCAAGCGATAAGACGATTCGACAACAAAGTGTCAACTCCTGTTGCGGTCAGTTGAACTGTTTTCTACGTCATTGACGCAGCAGAGGGACTATGCATGTGTACGCATTGCTTCGGCCCATTTAAACTTATGTTATCTATAATGCTAAATGACACTAGGCAGGACGAACAATGATATTGAGAACGACTCTCGAATCGTTAGAAATCTACTCAATATCCGACATATGCAGACCTTAACGAGGGTTTCAGGGGGAATGGTACACGATCTACAGTTCGCCGATGACTGTTGTTAGAATCAATGACCACAGTGAACGTACAATCTGGCCTATATATCTTAGCTCCTGGAGGCACCAGTTTCGTTTTGAGGGCGCCGAGAAGAATGGTCATGAATTTGTCTGGGATACCTGCCGGATAAACTGGACACATGATAATCGGCGATGATCAGAGTAATCAATGTGACCCAGTTCCCCTTCCTGTGGAGCACCACCTAAATAGACATGAGAGTTCGCGAAGAAACAGCCTACTGGACCTCTAAGTCAACTCTGCTAAAATCCCCAGTCTACAATCTTCAGGCTATAATATTCAGTCGCAAATGAAGACCATGTCCTCAACACAGACTAGAGCTATTCACGACCGTTGTTCTGACAACGCATCTCAGTGTCCTGGAGGTCTGGAAAGTCGATCGGAATCATGGTAGGGGGCTTCACCAGTTCTGCCTAGGCTGCCTCCGGAGGATGGTGAAGGTGAAGTGATAGGAAGGGAGTACTCAAACCCAAGTCATAGAATGAACAGGCATGTTTGGCCTCTTTGCAATGTTAAAGCAGATCTAGCTTAGTTGAAGCGTCTACGTTATGAGGGTGTCGGGTGTGCGCCTACTGAAATGACCCTTCCGGGATTACTTTTATACAATGTAAGTGACGTAATTCGTGAGCCATGCTAGCCGAAATTGAACTTATCAGATCAGGCACCTTGAACAATACGAATTTTCCTCGTTGGCTTGTTGATTAGGTCAGAGGAAACGCTTCAAAGAGAGGATTATGACAGGCGGACGTTTCTCCATTGGTAACGGGTCGGAAGCTAACATTATTCTGGTGTAACTCCACAAACCTGACGGTCGACATCATCGGTGAACAATGCTTACTTGTATTAGACTATGCGAAACTAAGTATGATACTCCGGGAATTCAAGGCAGTCACCATTATTCATCTACACAGGTTGACGAAAAATCGACAAATTTTTAATAACCACTGAGGCATTCCCTTAGTCAATGCTGCGGATTTAAGTTTTCCCGTCAGATTTCAGACTTGGAAAAGGAACTCTTCCGGGGACGCAGGCTGAGCTCAGAAACCCCGTTGAACTAGTAACATTACTTAGGCCGCCCGATTAGACCTACAGTACTGCCGACTTACTTTTCCGGAGCCCTCCGAACTTTTACGGTCATTGGGACAGCGAGCGGAAGCGGCCTTCTGATGATAAAAAAGTAGTTGTAGTGTCCAGAAGACTTCGAACACGCGGTAAGGCATGTAGCCCCGCGTTTCTGACGAAGAGTCAAACCCATCTGTCGAGTATATAACAGACGGGATAACACAGGATTTTGCACTTTTCCCCGGTCTCCTTACCTTCACGGTCCCTACAATTCTAGGGAAGGCAGTCTCAACTAAATCTAAAAATGCAAAATCAGCTAAGTAACCGACAAGAAACGTTTCTATGCCTAAAGTAAATAACTCTACTTTCCAAAAACTACGGAGTCAATGTGGTCAAAGCGGCAGAGATGCAAGACGATTTGGGACTCTTCGTTTCTCCTCGCGAAAACTGCAGACTGACTATGGATAGGGAGAAGTCAGTTCTTAAGTTTCGGTCAGCGCCAATTAGCGAATGTGTGGAACCGGCAGGCCGCATAAACGGGTTAAATGCCATGAAATATTTTGTCGTTCCGCGAAGAATCAAAACAACCAGTAAGATCATGGGTCAGAACTTCAGAAACAGTCAGTTCTTCAACGAAATCCAATCTCCACTCCGAAAAACTGCAATATCCTTCACAAAACCAAATTGAAGACTCGCAGAACCTTTGCTGCGATCATACTTCTCTAATCTTAACCCTCGTCGAATGATTCTGCACATGAAGAGACAGAGTGGATCTCGTTAACTCACGTTATAAGATAGATTAGCGTGCTATACATGATTGCAGTGTGACAGCGGCTCCAACTTGGATGCAGCCACGAAGTTATGTGGATATCTGATGGGAAGAAACTAGAGGGCAAAACCGAAATGTAGGGAAAGAACCGCAACGTCCGCCAACTTCTTCCTGTGTCACCCTGTCGAGTTACACTCCAACACCTGAATTAATCCTGCTGGAGGCCCTCGCACCCATCGTGACAACAGTACGCTTGTGAGCACCTTCCTTGCCAATAATAAAAGTAAAACCGAGGCAATGGAAGTGCAACCAGGAGAATGCTAAAATATTCTCTTTGCGACCTGGTTGGGCACTCTGCAGTCTACCGCCAACATTTTCACTCCTTAGCCCACAAATTATGCTTGTAATTTGATGCAGATGGCCATCCCCAGTAATGAGAAGCGAAATAACCTATGCAACTCACCTGTTTACTCGCAAAAGTAGGCGGCCCTGTTACGTCTGACATCAAATGGAATCAGTGCGGTTTGCCTGGGTGGAGGGCCTAGTGCACACGTGGCACGCGACGGGATGTCTGTGCCCCAATTCATTTTCAGTCGTCCTGACTCTGAGACATGATGAGTGTGGAAAGGGGAGAAGTAGGTCGGGGTTGCGCAGGTCTGCTTCTTAATCCAACTCGAACACAAATCAACCCTGTTTTCTGGGATATCGGTGGTTATGGCCCCGTTCATCGGACAAGCAGGGTGTGTGTGTGTGCTCGGGCGCTGTTTCGTGTAACCCAAAGTGAGACCAGCATATCTTTGCTGGACAACTGTTCAAGTGAAGTCTGGTTCTGGTAGATTTGCGCATCACAATCTGAGGGGGATGAAGGAAACCGTGTCGAGCTTCTGGCCGGCAACTGTGTGTACACGTTCATCTCCAAACCCATTACCTTACCCACGCCGTTGAAACATGGTGGCGTGGGGAGGGACCGTCAGGTCGAACACGCGAGTTGCTGCTGGCTTCTTCTCCCGTATGTGCATGGTTTGAGTTCCCAAAATGGGTTGCTTTCTACAGTGAGGCCTAGATTGGTGCCAAACATTCTATTGCCTTCGTTCGCCAAACTTCAAGAAATGTCATGAATACACCACAGTTCGTGTCGCTGACCGCGTGCATTTTAGCTGGGGGTTAGAAGGGACGTTTTAATGGCAGATCCGACGTGCGCTGCTGAATTTCGGACTGCATACTTCTGCTCATCTGGATGGCGACGCTGTGGATGAGTCGGCTCAGACGTGCTCAGGGGAAACAGGCACCGAATAAGTTAAGCACCGCAAAGACAAACAATTCAGGAACTGATCTGGAATTCACCGAGGGGCTGCACAATTGAGTAGAAAAAGTGGATTTTGAGGGGGATGAAGAGGTTGAGTGGGACCGGATAACCTTAAAGACTCAAAGTGCATCACTGAAGTACTGGCCATTGGATCCACACGTCGACAACATTGGGTTTGGTTTGAGGAGGATTTCGAACAGCTCCAAGAATACCAATTCGGTGAGAAAGATCAGAATTGTCCTTATTAAAGTCATATTCATCAGACGCAGATGACAGTTGCAAGAGCAGCACAGGCAGGGACAAACACTCAGTCATTGGAAAATGAAGTCCAAAGATATAGTGGCAGTGACGAAATAAAAAGTCTATTCCCAACCATAAAGGTTGTCTACGACCGCAACCTACCGGCATTTCGCCAGCACTCGATGCTGCAAAAGAACACCTTTCCGGACGAGATGAGAGATTGTGGACAACTGGACAGCCCACTGTTGGAAGATCCTCAATCACCGGTCATCAGCTTTGCAAGAGGAGATAAACAAGCTACCATGATCCGATCTGCCTACAATCGTATCGTAGACTATCTGGGCATTCTAACAACTCTCCTAATTTAAGTTTATTGAAATGTCCAGAAGACGAGTTGGCGAGCAAACGTTGCTTTCGACAACTTCTCTTCAGTCAAGTACGGTTATATGAGAACGGGGTACAGTGATTAAAAAAATCGACAAAAGTTAGTTTCAGAAACAGGGGTTAGACAAGAACGGAAGGGCGCAGAAAGTTGTATGTTGCGAGTCAACCTTTGACTACAGTAAGCGCGAAGCCTTAACGAGGTTCTTCTGGGCGTAGGGGGTCGGCTTTCGGAATCTGATGGCGGCCGCCACCCGGATTTCAGACGAACTCACAAAATCAGACGGCCCCCACATTTGGTACAGACTGATTAATCAGATTGAATAGTCACAACGGAAAAGAGAAATTCACCAATATGTTAAGTATGCCGTCATCATAACCTTTATAAACGCAAAAGAATTCTGTGAATCTGCTACAAGAGGACATTTGCCTGCATCCAACGTCAAGCCGCGAGAGTATATTTGATCAAAACCTGTCAGATGAAACGAGCAGATCCCACAAATCATAGAGTCACCGACATAATTTTCTCCGTCCGACGATATAAGAAAAAAGCCCAGAAAAAGCCAACTGATTTATGATGCCTTTGAGAATCCCGCATTTTTTCCTACCTCTGGGGCTAGGTAGGTGGTAGAACATCTAGGGAAATGCACGCATAGCGCTGAAAATCCATTATGATGCATAGGCTCACGTCCGTAACGGTGGGAAGTTAGACACCTTCGGCATAACAAGTTATGGTTCGATAGCCTACTCTCTCCAGTCCTCATTAGCCTCAAGCTATCCGGTGATGCTCATTCGGCAAGGCAGGGGCAAGAAGCCTGGATGTCTACCGACTGTTCTGTTAAGCGCCACATCAAGTTACCTCCCCCTATCTGGTTTTACGGACATTCTTGACGGGGGGACAGTCACGGCGCGGGACAATCGGGGCCGCCAACTATCGCCGCGGCCGACGAAGATGGGCGGGATTCAGGTCACGGTGACATGCGGGTCGGATGCAGCCACACAGGCAGCATTGGCGGGCCAGGCATCAAACAAAGTGCGCCATACAAGGGAGGCTGTGTGCATGACTTCTCAGTCTCTAAAGATGGGTAGAAGAAACGACTACCCGAAACGTCAGACCTCAAATACACCTCTGCCGGTGAATGCCTCCTTTTCTGTTGATATCCGGAAATTCCATGGAGGACCGCTGGAATGCCGGGACATCGTGATAGAATTTCATGTCGTCACAGAAAAGGTAGGGGAGAAGACTGCCGTCTAGAAGGACAGTATTTTGTGGTATGAGGGTGGGTTGACTGTGTTGACATTTCAGGCCACAGGATAGTATACACGTGACTCCGAGCAGATATTTTATGATATTGATTCCTGCACGCAACCCGAAGCCCCGTTTGGCTTCAACAAAGCAGACCCCGTATAAGGTCTCGGACCTATTTCAAATAAAATTCAATGCGCTTGCGGTCTATGGTTTGTACGCTGCCCCCGTAAAGGTTAAGTTTTTCCCGGTGTAGAATCCGGACACTGTGGTACACACTGTCCCTGTCAGCTACTTCTTCCAACTGTATTTCAGTGCATTTTGGAAGGAAATGACAGTGGGACTAGCAATTTGAACTTCATCCTCGGCCTCCCCTCTAAAATCGATTCCTGACGCCGGCAAACTTCCCCACGCCCAAGGAGTCAGGTCGTGCACTGCGTTCTGATCAGTTGCATAGCTCTCGCATTCGTCTGGAATGGATGCCACTAGTAGAATACTGTGAGGAATTGAAATAGAAAAGAATCGATAATTAGTGCGCGAGATTCCCTCTCCAAATAGCTCGAGCGTCGCTGCCGAAGATGTCCACCGTATGCCCCACAGCAGGGTGAAGCAGATGCGGTGACTTGCGCCTGAATTAGTTTATAGTGAGTGTAGACTTTCTATGTGTCCACGGCACTCTCTCCTGCTCGCAACCTGGGCAGTATATTCAGACAGCCAAGAAGACCGGAGGTGGGAGACGTCGCATGCGGACGGTAAGGTCGAGCCTGAATCTTGGTGCTCCACTTCACTCCCCCTGGTCCACACAGCAAATGACCAGAATTTTAATCAACAACAAAAAGGGATTGGCGCGGCCGAAGACGCATCCAGGCATGGACTGAGTTTGAGCGTCGGTCAGCAGCCTTCTAAGCCACGGCGCTTGACGCACCGTGACATTCTCAGACGCGAATCACTCATACGGCAGAGGGGCCGCATGGGGACGGAGCTGAGACGCATACTTCCCACTTGCAGTTGGCAGTTGGATGCTTTTGGCTGTTTATTTTGTGTTTTACAAGGGAGGGAAGATGTGATGGTGTGGTATAGCCAGCGGTCGTCTACCGCAGGTGTTCGTGAATGCGCATGTGTCTCTGCGCGATGGATTTTCAAATGACCGACCAGGCCGATGTGTGAGGTGAAGGTGCGGTCGCAATGAGGACAGTTATGGAGCGAGTCCACATCGCTGGTGGTGGCGGCGGTGATATTGATATTTGCCGATGTGTTGGGATTGAGTGCAGTGGCGGTGGGTGGAGGAGCCGTCGCAGTGGATTTTGAGGCGATGGAGGAGGATGGAAGCGAGGGTTCAGGAGTGCGGTCAGTTTTGATTGGCGGCGTGGAGGCGAGGCCGAGGTGGATGGTGAGACATCGGGTGATGTCTTCCGGGTGCTGCAGTTGGTGTTAAGATGTCAAATTAAACCGATTGATGCTCGGAAGCTCCGATGGCATCGTGGGCATGTGGGGGTGGTTGAGTGTTGGCGTTGTGAGGTGGGCGCAGTTGGGATTTGCGAGCCTCGCGTTTGACTTTGGCTGCGGTGATGCGGTTGACTTCGTAGATCGCTGCGCCCGTCTTAACTGTCCCCCTCCAGGTCGGTCGGTCCCGGGCGAGGTCTTCTCAGTTGGCCGGGGCGATTTGTATGCGCTTAAGTGCGGTCTTCAGGCTATCCATGTATCGCCGGACTTGACCTCCTCGTCGGCGAGATGCCGTGACGACATCTCCACGGAAGAGTTGTTTGGGTAACCGCCCGTCGTCCACGCGCAACAGATGTCCACTCCAGCGCAATTTCAATTGACTCAGAATAGAGTAGATGGTGAGTGTTCCCGTCCGTTTCAGTACGCCCGTGTCCGGGGTCCGGTCCTGCCATATCAGATTCAATATCCATCGGAGAAAGCTGATGTGGAAGTGGTCGAGTCTACGCACAAGCCTCTTGTACACCGTCAAAATTTCCGCTCCATATAGCAGCATCGGCAGGATGACTGCTTTGTACATCTTCAGTTTGGTGCTAATTTGGAGACCGTGTCGATTCCAGACGGCGTTTTGCAGATAGCCGAAGGCTTGACTAGCTTTGGAAATCCGGCGGGCCACTTCCTCGTCGATTTTGGTGTTACGGGAGAGTGTGCTGCCCAGGTAGGTGAAGTTGTCCTCGACATGCAGTTGGACGCCGTTCACGCTGATTTGAGGTGTGACATAGGCGACGTCGGGTGGTGGTTGATGCATGACCACCGTCTTTTCCGTGTTGATGACCAGGTTGAAATTGTCGCAGGAGGCGGAGAAGAGATCCATGCTCCTTTGAATGTCCTCTTCATAAGTGGCGTTGAGTTCACAGTCGTCAGCGAAGAGAAGTTTGTTGACAATAGTTGCGTACACACGTGACTAAATGTGCATCCGCTGCTGATTGAAGAGCTGACCGTCCGTTCTGTTGGTGAGGCGGATCCCAGGGCGTTCGTCACGGTAAGCGTCCATCAGCATGGCAGAGAACATGAGACGGAAAAGGGTAGGCGCTAGTACTTAGTCCTGCTTCACTCCGTTGGTCACTGCGAATGTCTCTGATACGACTCCATTGTCGTGACGTTTGCTGTCATGCCATTGTGGAGCTGACGCACCATCTGAGTGACTTGCTTGGGACAGGTGGATTTCTGTGTGACTTTCTACGGCCCTTTGGTATCCACTGTGCCAAAGGCTCTCGTCGGATCGTAGAGGTGGGTCCGAATCTCCTGACACTTCTGTAGTTGGCGGATGGCAAAAATAATCTCGATGGTGCCTTGATGACGGCAGAAACTGCACTGGCTTTCCGGAGCCATTATTCCAGCTGGCTGTTGAGACGGTTGAGAAGGATACGAGCGAAGATCTTTCCGGCGATGTTCTATAAGGAGATGCTTCGATGATTGTCGAAGATTTGGAAGTTCCCTTTGCCCTTGTAGAGGTGGACGATTGTGGCGTCCTAGAAATCCTGCGAGACTTCTTGACACCACATCTCCCGGAATATTGCCGTCAAATGATTCATGGACAGTAGGGTACTATTTGTCTTACCTGTGGGGAAGATCATCTTGTGGCCTCCTGTGGGTTTGCATACAAAGCTTTATCTTGGAGGTAACGATGCGGCGATCCGTGGCAATTTCGACCGTGGGATAAGAGAGTAGCGTAAATTAGAGGCAGAGGCGAAATGCGAAGACTAGGCTCGAAGGAGTGAAAAGGGGCCTTCCTTCCATTCACTAAGTTGGCAGCTGGCTGAGTATTGGTGGTCTCCTATGAAATGGCAGTCGGAGACTCATCTCGGAGTTACCGAGGCAGTGATCCATCCGGGAATCGATGGTGGGAGTGTAGACGAGGTACAGTGTGTGGAGATGTACACAGGGATACCCTTGCCTGGTTTAACCTGCCGATCGAGGCGGTTACCGGGATGTAGCCGCTAGGCAGAGCTTAGCTTAGGGGAGCCACATGTGAGAATTGGGTGCCAGTTAGTGGACGCTAGGCGTAGCCTACACCTGCAAGTTAGTGCGCGACCTATTAGGACCATCACGTGCTCTCACAACTGGACGCCCCTACACGCCCCCACCCGAAATAACAAGAAAATCACGGGAACATTAGCAGTGTTAACGGTGTGGTGGTCTCCCGCGAAAAGATGATTACTTACATCGGAATTTAAGATTGGTTGACCGGGAGCTTCATCAGGGCTTCTAAAATTTTAGCAAACCCGTTGTATTGGCCGCTAATTTTGCTTTTTTGTGAAACGCCAAAAGCAATTAAATAAGAAACAGATTTTCCTTCTTTACACCGATTTCCTGGGAATAGACGATAAAATTGGCACACGCTGCAGTCCACTTTTATCCCTTGGTTATACTTTCAAACAGTTTGTGTGGTGTTCGATGAGCCCTGTAATCTAAACAGAGGGGAAAGATCTCATTCTTATATGAGTAAACCAATGAGATTCCCGTGTCAAAGGATATGCAAAGGCATTGTTGGGTTACATAACATAAACAGTTATCGAATGAGCTAAGCTGTCTTATGTGCGTCATTCGTGTCTAAACAGTTCCAAATCGTATCTATAAAAGGGTAATTTATGCAGAACATCAGGATTAAGAGCTTTAAGCAATACGCCTAGTGAATTCTTCATCCATCTGTACCTTAAGTAGATCATTTAACGGGGATGGGATGAAACGCTATTCTTCAAGATCTAGGGCCTATTCCTGGGAGTCAATACTTGTTCATGTGCTAAAATATTCAAAAATCTTCCTGCTCATAATTCAGCGCCGCCTCAATTCGTTGGGGAACTACGTTGCAAGGGCGTGGTCGCCGGAGACCGGGTGCCAGATCTGTGATGAAGACACGCTTGACCTTTCACTACACCCCGTAAGTTAAAATTCTGTTTAGCATGCTTGTTCGTCATGGCTATGTGGCCCCGGTAATATTTGTGATTTCATTCTTTACCAACTGAAGTCAACATATATGTTAACACCTAGAGCATCGTAGCAATCCCTATCAGTTATATTCGCCGCGCTGTCAACGTAGTCGGGCCGTCAATCCTCAGTGGAGTACATCTCTTTGACCTGCATCATAGACTATAATAGAATGGAAGGTCGAGCTGGACATGGTAATTGCATTTAACTCCTCCACTGTGTGTTTATTTGCAGAAGTCAATGTATCCCATCATCCAAATGAGCATTTTCATTTCTCAACCAACACCGTTCCTGGAGCGTTTCTTCAAACGTATTGCTGAACTGACTTATCCCAAGGACCGCATTCATCTCACTACACACTGTCCGGTAAGTAAAACGGTTACTCGCTTGAATAACGGTGAAGTGAGGTCCGATAAAATTAACTATAACCGGAATGGGCTCAAGCACTTGCTATACACTAGTTTAACTCGTACTACTGAGGGTTGTTTGTGGAAAAACGTGCTTGTCAAAACAACGCTGAAAATTGTTTGGCAGTTGGGCAGTAACCGTATCTAAAAGGAGCTAAGACAAAGCTAGTTAGTTAAACCGTTTTTCTCCACCAGAAATCGTGTCTGCCTTCGTCAAAATACCCATTAATTTTCAATAGTCTCCTCTGGGCAATTAGACGTATTCATCCGAGGGAAAAGATAGTTGGGCTGATCTTACTGAATAAGCAACATCAATCACAGTTCTACGCGGGCAGACCAATTTGATACGATTTCAGACTTTCCTAATCAGAACATTTTTGTGACATACTACGGAAAGTGGGGTATTCTGAAAGCCAGATAACTTGTGTTCCAAGCGGGATCTACCTGCCGATCTTCAAATTTCGTGTCGGGTGTTTGTGAATGTGGCTATGGCGAGAACACCTGTCAGCTGAGCGATCAATCTACGTTTGATTAATCCTAAGGTTTGTCTTATAGCCTCAACAAAGTCGGTACTCGAACTGAGAAGCAGGTTCGACTTGCAGACTGGAAATAAAGTAGTGTCGATTATTCGCACGCTTTACGACACGCCGCCATAGTTCTGTCAATAGATCGGGCGGAACGAAATCAGGAAGTCGGCGTTCAAGGTTAGTCAGTAAAAAAGTTGACTTACTGTGCAAGTTCCCCATCTCCCATTGTCAGCCTTCAGAAAGTTATTGAGCGTCGCCTTGAAGAAAGATCCATACATCGAAACCGGCAATGAAGCGCTATTACGGTAGGTCAACAGTCCTCGTTATTGCATTCATAGTTTCTTCATCGATTGTTTTCAGCGGTTGTTTCCTTCGCCGACATTGCTTGTGCCCTGGCCAGCCGTCACGGCGGCGGGAAAATCTCGTCCACCAGGCTTCTAGTGGTGGACACTTCCCTGATTAGTTCTCATTAACTTTCTTCACCTTCTCCGGTCGGGCCTTACCGTCACGGCTAGCAACTCTTCCCTTCTAGGCTAAGAAAGGAGTTGCGAATCCCTCCAAACCACTCGTTCCTCAGTCGCATTTTTTAAACGTAAGGTTTAAGCTGAAGAAGGTTCGATAAACATAATATACTGCGAAAAAGTAGGTGCGACCAATAAAAGTAATTAACTTAAAAACTATTGAAAGGGTACATTTTGGAGGTTTTCGTCTAAAAAAGGCAAAAATGTGAATACTCCTTTCATTTCTAAGCCTTTATCCTGTAGGTCAAAAGGCAAAAGAAGTATGTCGACGCCTTCCTCGAAAAGTACGGATCGGAGTACCGTTCAGTTGAGGAGCTCGATGGCGATAAATACTATCAAATTAACAGTGGCTTCACTATCGCAACGTAAGTATCTCTAATCGGCCACTCGTTTCATCTATTAAAGTAAGATCTTTCAGCAGGTACAATTTTTGCTGAACTTCGACCCTCCTTATCGCTGCTTCTTGAATACTACCAACCAAGCCACAATGGCGTCATATTTTTAGCACTTGCCTATGCTGCCTTTTCTGATGTGACCCTAATAAAGATGACTTCGTCTCCGATAGAAAATAAAGCTTTTCGCACTGCGCATATTAACTCATGATAACGTGGTAACATTATACTCATGAAGTTCAGTTACTTTACTACACAATTGGATTTCCTACTTTAACGGACTGCCTTCTATGTTGCTGTGGTTTATAGGTCTAGGTGCTTAGAAAAGGAGGAGTGTTGGTACTTCTTCCTCGTCGAAGGCACTGCCCAATTCACGGAGCCCGAAACTATTGAAAAACTGGTGACAGCTAACCGCGGCATTGTGGCGCCAATGATGCGTCGACGCGGCCTCTACTGGTCAACGTTCTGGGGTGCTGTGCACGCGAATGGATCGTACGAGCGGTCTGATGACTACTTCGACATTGTCGAAAACCGAAAAACGTAAGCATTTGACCTCTTCTCTAGCTAAGCATAAAAAGAAGGATGCATACCCACAGTTTGGGATGTGCGCCTGTGTGTCGCCGAGACAACGCGCTAGGGAGACTGCTGTGTGGTTGTGAACTCATTAGGAAATTCACTAAGAAATGAAAGCGCTGCTTGCTTGAAGCGTTTTCGTTCACTTCTAGGTTGCCTAGGTCTTATTCGTGTATTTGTAATGTGGAACGTGGGTTCCCGTCACAATAATTGAAATGCCATTGCCCTTTTTGGCAAAACAACAGATTTTTTGACAACGGAGTGGCAGTCCTCTCATAAGATGAAAATAACCCAAAGGGTTCATACTTTTTTACTGGACAATACCCACTATAGTTCTTTAAGAAAATTGGCATTTTCAACACCTCAAATCTGAGGGAGCCACTGGTATCCATGAAGACGAAAAATGTGGCATGTCTGGACGTGGATGATGGTCTGAAGGAATGTGCACGTACGCTGCCAGGAACATGTCTGCTTCCATTATGCACACACGCCAAGTCTTTGCTTTCTTATTTCCTAAGAAAAGTGATTCTTTACTTGAAAATCTGTTCTCACTTACCTTACAGGGGTCTATGGAATGTGCCTTTGGTGGGAACGACATGGCTGGCTTCCAGGTGGGCCTTGATGCAAGTCAGAGGTGCGGAAAATGATGAGAGCTACCTCTACGGTTCAATCGCATCGGCAGCGGTTTCCAAGGTGTGTTTGGCGGATGCACAAGAGCGCATTGTGGTATTCCTACACTGTTTTCTGATAATAATAATAATAATAATAATAATAATAATCAAGGTGGTATGCGAATTCGGTTCGGTATCAGAATCTGAATGTGCGCAACCTGGACTAATTCCGTAATCAGATTGCCCTTTGCAATTCATTCTCTCTCCCCTATCTTTGGTACAACGCCTTCCTTACTATAATCTCTGGTTGCTCAGCTCCTAGCACCTACTGACGGGATGAGCAACAGATGCATACCGTTCTATACTATCATCGCGCAACGTTTGCACGGTAGCGGTGCGGACTGCTTGTTTGTAGGAAATCTAAAATTAAGGCGGTTGAGAGTTTCACAGTAAAAAACCAAAGATAACGCAAAAACTTTAGACTCTTCTCATAGGGTATTAATCGGGCAATCATAACTGAAAACCCAAGAACGATGGACCTATTAACGTTTCATGTGGAACCTTTGAAAATGAGGAAATATCGTTTACCACTTTTCTTCTCTGCTTTAACTGCCCCTTTGCATGAATTTCACATTTACGTGCTTTCGTTGTAGAACGTCTTCATGTATGTGGACAATAGAATCGACTACGGTTACTTGACAAACCCCAATTCTGTCACCCTCGATCACCTGCACAATGACCTTTGGCAAATTTTCGATAATCCGTTGGTATGTAAAGTGCTTGTTTTATTGATCCTACATATCTGACTGGTAATTAAAATTGTGCCAATAATGCGAACGAGAACCTACTGTACACCATCAAACCGGGGACTGGTGTTTGATATATGTTTGCTATTGCAGCAACTTTATAAAGCAAGTCAGTTTATACTACGTCAAAGGGTTTAGCAGTTGGAGCAACTTTTAAACATTTTATGATTACAATAATTCCAGTTTTCTCCTCCATATTAGAGCGGCGTCGTAAAAACGCAGGAAACGCCTAGTCATCGCCTGAAGTAGAACCTTAAATGCAGTCATTGGGACACGGGCCATACGGTAGACCCAATGACTGCATTTAAGGTCATATTTCGGGCGACGACTGAGCGTCTCCTGCTCTTTGCCGAGGCCGCTGCAATACGGAGGAGAAAACCGGAACTCTATAAAAAGCTGGATTACAATAATCTCTGATTTTCCGAAAATGCATCAAATTAGGACTAGGAGGAAGTCTTTGAACTCGATTTCTCGACCAATTTATGACTAGAAACTGAGCATAACATTCACATATCTAAAACGAGTGAAATGATCTGCGTTTCCTTGGATTTGCAACAACCGGCAAATGAAGACGTGGACAAAGTGCTTCAGGCCGAACGGTATAAAAGGGCATACACGCTGATTTCCGCCCATGAAGGCATTGCCGGCACCACTGCAAATCAGACGTCTTATGTCTCAAGAACAAACCATCTCGCTTGATGTTCAACGGTTTTATACATTGAAATGCTGACGGGTGGTGCTCCCAAGCCCCTACATATTATATACACTCTCTCTCCTACGCGCCTTCGACGACATTCACTCAGTAACTAATAGAGCATGCTACCTAGGAACGCTTTTTTCGGCGGGGTTATCCATTGAAGTCCAAATCAGGAACACAGCCTAATAAAGGCTTATTAGGGGGTTGCACGCAGTCTGCCCAGTTGTGTGTGTCTGTGTGTAATAGCGGACTGGTGGGATAGGAGATAAGGGCCTTCACGGCTCCGTCTTAACCGGTCTGTGACACTCTCGGGCATGTGAGGAGCGTGTGCGTGCGTGCTTTATAGGTAATGCCTCCCAGTTAACGACTGCTTGGTTATCCAGCACTGAAAGGCGACGGCCAGGCTACCGCATGGCCACTTGCCACGCTTCTGGGCCTAAAGGTCTGAAAACCTCTGCTATGCTAGGATCAGCAAACCCTGGCCCTCACAGTCTGATATGCGCGGGCGGTTCTCTGGCACCTGGGTACCTGCCGGTAGGTGTGCTTGCGCTCCCCCTGGTTACACAGGTCGTAAGCATGGCTGCCCGGCCATCTTCGTCCTTCTGAGCCGCTGTGGTGTTGTTGTTGTTGGTTAAAGTCCTAGTTAAGTGTTCGCTGTGGACCAGGGGGTGTGAAGTGGAGCGCCAAGGTGCGCACCAGCCACGCCAGCCATTTGCGTCCTCTCCAGCCTCCGGTATTCTTGACTATGTCTTGACATCGGGCCCAGGTGGGGAGGAGGAGAGAGTGCGGTAGATGCAGCGAAAGTCTACACTCACTATAAACTAATTCAGGTGCAATTCACGCTGACTGCTTCACCTTGCTGTGGAGCACACGGTGGACATCGTCGGACACGACGGCCGAACTGTCATAAGGCGGTTTCAATACTACTATGAAACGGTTCTAATAATGGCGATTTTAAGTGGGTGCATCATACTTTAACTTGCCACACTTAACTAACATTATCTCCCTGGGCTTATTCTGATTCTTTTCTGACAGAAAGCTACGCTGCGCCATTAACGGACTAATGTACGTTATAAGGCAGTAGAGGTCGATGGCAGCAGATTACTGCGTGTGTATGCAGGCCAAAGAAAGTAGACTTAACACAGAAGGCGAATATCCAGTGTCAATTATATATGGATTCTGTTTATCCCGGTGTAGACCCAGTTAGTCCATGGTGCGCTTTTTATTCATTGTAGGACTGGGAGGAGATCTACATTCATCCGGAGTACCATCGTTGGGCCAGAAAGGAAGTAAAAATGGAAGAATTTGAACAGCCCTGCACGGATGTTTTCTGGATTCCCCTCATGTCTGAGGTATTCTGCAAACAACTGATAGAGGAGATGGAGCACTACGGGAAGTGGTCAGATGGTAGTAACTATGATCCCCGTCTCGAGGGCGGCTACGAAAATGTGCCCACTAGAGACATCCACATGAGGCAAGTTGACTGGGAAGACCATTGGATTCATGTCCTTCGCAAATACGTATACCCCATTCAGCTGAAGATATTTGAAGGTTACTCAGATAAGGTAGGTACCATCCCACTCGTTCTGAGTACTCTACTGATTTTAGACTTGACAGGGTCAGTAATATGTTTTCCCCTTCTGTCTTATTTACCTCCTCGCAGCCCTGGGCCCGCATGAACTTTGTTGTTCGCTACAAGCAGGGCGAACAGCCTTCCCTTCGTTATCACCATGATGCATCCTCCTACACTTTGGATATGGCTCTCAATCGTGCGCATGTGGATTACCAGGTAACAATTTTGTGCAAAACCCTGCATTTTACTTCTTTTCGGTTTGCGATCGTTTTCATTAAAAACAAAAGGTGTCGTTTCCTGTTCGCCCCCAGCTTGTTATTTTGATGAATGCGAATGCTCTTCGATATTTAGGTGGTAGCTACTGGTGGCAGTGCCCCTTGGATCAGCGACATCATAAAAATGGCCTAGCAGAATACATCATATTTTCAGTTTCTGACCAATTGTGGAGGGATCCAAAACACATGTACAGTCGCGTATGCTTGTGAGTCGCTAATACACACGTCCAAGAACGGCGCACTTCCCATCAGGCTACTTGTAACCAGGGGTTGACTTCGTTACTACGGCCAAGCATCGACTGTAGTTGTGCTTCGCAGTGGCTGAACTGTATGAATAGATTAGAACCACTTTTTTGTCCTCTCGGTAGTCTGTCAGCATTTAGACCTTCCGCCGCCAGTCGCGTTAATTAACGCAGAAAGTAATAGCAGACATTAAATTACATTCCACAGTATCATAGGCACTTGGACTACCGTAGGCCGGATAAATACACGTCCGGCGTGCAACACGGTTGGCGGCAAAGAGCCCTCGAAGTGACCCATTTAAACAAAAACAATTATTCAACGCTTCTAGCGTTGGCAAAGGTGTCTGGCAACTAGGCATGCCTCTGCTTCGCCGATGTTGCGCTACGTATAAACGCTTTATGCGGGCACAGGGTTGGTTGACTAACCGTATGGCCACTGCCTCTGCCGTTGAAAGTATCCGCTGACACAGGAACTGGGAGTGTCTCACGGGGACCTTATAGATGACTCGGATTGCTGGGCTGACGTCTACCTGGTGGCCGCTGTCAACCAAGTGAGCCGCAATTGCACTAGAGATGGAATTTTTTCGCACCGTGATTTAGCTAGGCAGGATAGTGCTCTCGCATCAGCCTGGATAGACGCCTACTTGTTCGACAAGTATGACCTGCCCCACAGGAGCAGGTGAAGACGTAAATGTTGCCTAAAGATGTTCAACCCTTCGATTAATGTACAAGTAAAAGAAATTCAGTTACGCAAAAGCTTTTCTTAATTAAACCGATTTGTTGACTTCTATTTGATGATCCTGGTAGACGCGGTTTGAGGGCCTTTGATTACTGACTTTCAAGGCCCTGTTAGCCAAGGCGCTACTAGATGCCTTCGAAATGTATCTGCCATATTACGATCAGTAAACCCAGATCCTCACAGTGTGGTATGTGCTGGCGGTTCTCTGACACCTGTTTACCTGCCGGTAGGTGTGCTTGCGCTCCCTCTGGTTACACAGGTCGTGAGCATGGCTGCCCAGTCATCCTCGTCCTTCTGAGCCGTTGTGGTGGTGTTGTTGTTGTTGTTGTCGGTTAAAATCGGGGTCAAGTGTTTGTTGTGGATCAGGGGGTATGGAGTGGGGCGCCAGACACTTGCGCCCTCTCCCATCTTCGGTTTTCTTGGCTACGTCTAGACACCGGGCCCAGGTGGGCAGGAGGAGAGAGTGCGTTAGATGCACCGAAAGTCTACACCCATTATAAACTAATTCAGACGCAAGTCACCGTTCCTGCTTCATCTTGTTGTGGAGCACACGGTGGACATCGTCGGTCACGACGGTCGAACTGTCAGACGTCTTAGACGTTTCACACCTATGACATAATCGGAATCCAAGAGGTAGACAAGCGTAACATCGAGGGTACTGCCCCTTTGAGAATGCATGTCCACTCTGTTATCCTCCAATGTTAACCTCTACCTTAGAAACATTGATGGAGTGGGAGAACCTCCAACACATTGCTGACTTAGAGACGCAGCGTGGTTTCACGCTGAAGCAAGCAATGCTTTCAGCAAAACGCAGTCCAAATACGCAACACGGCATTACGATCGCAGAGATGGCTGATGTACAGTAGCCCTATGCAACTCGTAAGGTCGACCATTAACATCATCAGGTTTACGCATGAGTTGGATAAGCGAATGCAGTGCAAAAATGTTCACATATTGCTAGTAGGTAGCGCCATTTTGCTCTCCTGTAACTTCGCACTGCGAGGTGTTACCAACTAAGACATAATTCGAACTGAATAAGTGGATATGTGTGTTATGGCACTTGCTGCCCCTGCGCAAAAATCTCCTTTTTTGCGTGTCAACACCGTTACCATTCAACACTTCTCTCTGCTGAAAGTGGGTGAGATAGAGAACTGCATATTCCATTTACCATTGACAAAGCAGGAATTTTCCTTTGTAGGGCGGAGGTGTGCGATTCAGTCGCTATAACTGCACACTCGTGGACACACGCGTCGGCTGGCCACTCATCTTTCCGGGTCGTCTGACACATCTGCACGAGGGTCTCGAGGTCACCTCGGGAGTCCGCTACATATTTGTGACATTCGTTAACCCCTAGGTGGCGAAGGCAGTGACGGATCAGCGAGAAGACGGGACAGTATCGTATGCCATGCCAGCTCGCGAAACTAGGCTGTCCGAGCACCGTTCCAACTCTTTTATGCTGTCCGACTTTACCAACTGTTTGAATAAAAATACGCACTTACTTACTGAGATTCGTTTTGCTGTTCTAAAATATGATGAATGTATTTACAAACAGGATATTTCCAGTTAATTAAAATAAGACGAAATTTGGCCAGATTGGCTAAATATGTGTTCCCTCGTTATGAAAAAAGTAAGGAGGGGAACTTGGTCGAGGAAGTTAACATTTGCAGACCCAAAAAACTGAACTGAATACGCCTGGTAAGTTTGCGATTCCCCCTGACTGCGCCGAATCAAAACTAAACCCAGGTAGCACCGCAAGGGAAAGCATGACTCTCACTCCGTCTGTTCTCCTGTTCTTTTGCCTTCAGAGGTGGCATTATGAAGTTCTCTCTTAATGCTCAACCCTGCTCTGAAAAAGTTCTCTGAGCAATCAAAACTACGATGGATTCATCGAACGGAAGGTTAGGTATGACAAACGTTACCGAAGGAAAATGTAATTTGTATATATCTTCTTGAACTTATTGAAATCTAGGCATTTTTAAAAATCTGAAATAAAAAGTACTTAACAGGTATCGTCAAAATTAAATAGGCCCTTTGTTCATTTTTCAACAGCGTGAAAACTTTACACAGTGTGTAGCGTTAACATATTTGACACTCCTTAAAGTGGACTCTAGGACATGAATGATTCGGACAGACAGAAAACACGTGCCAGTGGGGTTGGTCTAACCACCATCTTTGCGATTTTGATCGAAGAGAGCTACTAATCGCTATGGTCGACGCGGTTCTCAATCGTACAATTAGTAGACAATCCCTTTTCTCAGGATTTTTAAGCCTGTCAAATGTGGTCGCAGCTGTACTCTCGTAAGATCTACGAGGCGAACCTCTTAAATGTAGTATACATCTATATAAATATATGTATATATTTATATAATAATAGAGGGGGGTTCACTGATCGTTCGTACGGAACTCCCTCGTACCGGTGTGCCTTACGGGCTCTCTCTCTCGAGTCCGACCAGCAGCCGCACAGCGGCGCATGATATAGGCAGAATGGTATTACCCAAAAAGACAAGGGAGACTGGAATGGACATTTCTGGTTTATTAGGCGTCGCCAGCTAGTAATACCCAACTCCGAAGTGTGGGACGCCCGGGGCTCGAACTCACGATCTGTTACTTAGAAGTCCACGCCTCTACCAACTGGGCCACGAGCCCGTTGCCCTGTCGGTTTAGGTCGGTATATATATATATATATATATATGAATTTGAAATTGAGCATCCCAAGAAGCATAATTCGAAAGAAATAAGTCCTTTGGTAAAGATAACTTGTTTCTTAATTTTCTGACTTTGGTTCCCCAAGTCGTCCTCAAACGCGAAGTAAGTGTGCAAATGTGTTAAAATTTAAACACGCCTAAAAATCGTTAATGCATTGTCACTCCTGCCAGTCAACCTTTACTTTGAGTAGGCATCATGTTCCGATTAGCTAATGGCTTTTCCATTTTTCCTTGAGATCTTTGTGCACAGCGTCTAATCCGTTTTGTCGAATGATGCATGAGTTACCAGAATGAATGATCTCTAAAAATTCGCGATCTTTCTTAGATGAGCAGACATCTAGAATGCGGGTCTTGGACCATGCAAATTGGTGTCCAGCGTATGCATGGCAGCCTGGGACAAGTGGTCTCGCCTTTTAACTGCCAGCTGATGTTCGTGTATGCGTGTAGGGGCAGATTCCCAGTTTGACCACATTCAACCGTATTGGTCCCAAATTTGATGCCCTGAAAATTTCATATGGCACACTGTGAAAAGAAAAGGCCAAGGTTAGACGACATTAGGTCCACCTTGTGATTCACGGACAAAAGACTATTGGTTACGCATGCAGTTGCAAACAGCGTCAATCCAAACTAAATGGTGCAAAATCACGCGGTGGGCGTTTTAAGTCTGTCCAGTGACATACACGTCTTCGGAATGAGCAACTTGGCTTGTTTTCAGAGATCTGTCACTGTAAATGTCTTAATGATTCATCAGCAGACAACTATGTTAATGTGCAAATGGGTACGCTGATGGTTTCTCCTGCAAAAATGTCAGGCGGGATTCAGGATGGCGAAAGGTTAGGGAAGGATGGAGGGGCGTGTTCACAGGAGAATATTATGAGAGAGGGGAGAGCGCAATTAAAACCAACCCCTTTACTGGGGCGACAGGATCAGGAAAAGAATATGGTAAGTCAGCAGTGCTTGATGAATCCGTAGTTTCTAGACTTCGCAAAGTATAAAATCACCCTTCTAATATTCAAAGTAAGTCAG